GCGAACGCTGCGCGAGATTGGCAAATGGCGCGAGAGTCCACGAAACTAGGCGGTCTTGACCTAGATCTATATAATAAAGCTTACTTGAGTGGCATTTTCATTTTTCAAAACAGAGCCCTGAGGGAACCTTGCCAGTAGCGTTCTGTTGGCCCCAAGGCTATTGCATCGCAAATCTGAAATTACTCAACAGCTAGTTCTAGTTTTTCTAGATCTATTCAGCATGGAAGTGGGAGCCAAGCTCAAGAGTTTTTCAGAATTCACAGAGGCTGTGAAAGAGTATGAAAAGTACTAGAATAACACAAAATTTGTGGTGACACGATCCACCAAAATTGGCCAAACAGACCCCTTGAGTGCTGTTTACGTACAGTGTACCAGTCGATCGGGATCCAGGGCAAGCAGGAGCAGCGCCACCATTATTGTATTCTTTAAATTAATAAACAATAAAAAAAAAAAAAAAAAGATCAAAGGTGCAAATATAAAATGCACCCTGTACAGGTTCTATCTAAATGTATACATATGTACATTTTGGCAACTTGAGGGGGGGGGGGGGGTGGTGTCCTGGGAAAGATGACAAGAGGGGTGGGGTCATTTGTGAACAGTCCTTAAAAGTAAAACTGCAATCATTCGGCCATAAATATACTATGATGTATTACTACAGAGTTACTACATAAAGTTGATTTTGGACCTCATTTGTCACACCCAGGTATCCCACCTTTAGTTTTAGGCAAAGGGTAAGCACTGGGAATAGGCCAGAATTGTTCCCAGTGTCACTGGGATGAGGCCAAGAAACAATTCCCAGTGACACTGAGAACAGACAGGCCCATTAGATGTCTAGATCTATTGTTCCCACAATGATCTACATGGGCATGATGATGATGGGTTACTAAATACTAGACTATACACATGTATTTTTCTTTATAAAATAATATAATGTAGATCTAATCTAGGTAGATTCTGGTGTGAGTGGAAGATTTTTTTTTTTTTAAAAGGAATGGTCATTCTATGCTTGCTTGTTATTCATCATGTACATTAGATCTAGATCTATTACGGATTTTGGAGACCACGGTACAGGACAGGTAAAAAAAATCCTTCCCGATTCTCCATTTCTTCTAGAATCTAGGCTACGGTCAAGTCTTGGCCCAAGTAAGCGAAGAGAAGAAAAATCTGAACTTAATTGAGAAGAGAGCCTTCTACAGTACACGTTAGAAATGAATCTAGATACCTCCACCATGTCTCCCCCTCTTTTCACTAGTCTGGTAAACTTCACCCGCGCCTCTATCGTCTCTCATTAGTCTCATGGATGGTACCTCTTAGGCCTAGCCTAGGCTGGCAATGTGGGTCCACTAAAGTAAAGTTCTTGGGCAGAGCAAACTATAAAATGTTCCTGGTCCACTTTTCTCTGTTTATTATAATTGATTTGCATATGGCAGCCCCCCCTCCTCCCCCGACTGTCGAATACTAGATCTATAAGTATCCTAATAAATTAAGTGCTGAATGTGCGGTCCACCAAAAATTAGCGTACTGCGACTAATTCAGAAACCAGGAACCTACTGGTCCATCCTCCACTTCTGGTCTCCCTCCGCTGCCTCCCCCTCAAAAGAAAAGGAGCAAAAATAAGCCTACGACATGTAATCAAGAAAATTAGGAACTTGCTGGTCAATCCTCAACTAATTCTGGTCTCCCTCCACTGCCTCACCCTAAAAAGAAACTAGAAACATTGGATGGGATCAAATAATACTAATATAGTGAGAACCCTGCGCCTGTTCCTGCGGTAAACGTCCTCATCCGATGCCTAGATATTCCAGACTTTGATCTCTTCAATGATTCGGATAACAGGTCCGTTTACAACTTTGTCTCATCCCCCCTTCTCTCTCTCTCTCTCTCTCGTGGTATTCTCGCAGCCCTCACTCACTCCGCCTCGCGTCGCCGGGAACAATATTAGTCTCACTCATTCCGCCTCGTGTCGCCGGGAACTAGTTCGCGTAGCGTCGATTAGGACCCATGATTGTATAGTATTTAAGTATAAAAGTCCGTTGTTTGCTAGTGCGCATTAATAAACTCGGTGGGTCCACCAAAGTTCAATCCAGCCCCTATGATCTTTGTCCTTGTGCGATGAGGGGAACAAATGAGGAAACGGTTGGCCGATTTCCATCCTTCTTTTGAAAAACCCTGTGCGAATTTAAAAACTTCATAGTATTCACACACCCTGTGCGAATATAATTTCATAGTATTCGCACACCCTGTGCGAATAAAATTTCATAGTATTCACACACCCTGTGCGAATAAAATTTCATAGTATTCACACACCCTGTGCAAATAAAATTTCATAGTATTCACACACCCTGTGCGAATAACTACAGCCTTAATGCTAAAGATCTATTATAGTGTTGTTTTCAGACTTGACACCCCTTCACTCAGTGGCAATTGACAAACGAAGTGACTATTTCTCCGAACGTTCGGAGAAATAGTGCCCATCTTTATTTCTCCAAACGGTTTCCGGCCTCATGATTTTTTGCCTATTTATTGCGAGAGTTGGGCGCCAACTTTCATTCTGCCTCTGGTCTGGGATTGGGAAGGAACACCGCATGGTAAGCCCGCCTACAGACAACCTTCAGTAACACCCACCACACACCCCCAACACCATCATGCACAGGTACACACACAAACTGATACACACACTAACTAAACATGATCAGTGGGCAACTTTTGAACGTATGACGAGCTGAGCTGTGGATGGAGAGACAGTAGTGAAAGAGCAGGTGAAAGGAAGAATGTACGAGTGTATCCACAGGCGACAGCAACTACAAGTACAAGACGACGACACCGACCCCACTGGCCTGGTCCACGGCTCACGAACGAAAGGAATGCAGCTAAGGCAGTGTTTTGCCTATATTATTGTCCATGGTTCGCAGGGTGCAAGGGAATGAGTGAGATTTTCTTTGTGTGTGCCTGAAGGGATGGGATGGGGTGTGAAAGTCATGCGGACGGGGATGAGCCGCGGGAGAGAACACGGGAATTGAATGAATGAGTGAAACTGAAAGAGAGGAACGACTCATGAGCCCTGGAGTGAATGGATCCTGTGTTTCTATTTTTGTACTTTGAACTGTTACTGACTAAAGCCCCCCACCCCCCCCCCCTTTTTTTCCCATAAAAAAAATTGATAGAAAAACAACACATCAGAACAATAACAAGAAAGAAAAAAATACACACCAACAAAATAAAACACCACAAAGAGGGAAAAATAAAAGTTACAACTGTAACGTATTCAACAAATCAACGTGGTGACAACAAGTGAGAAAGAGACGAAGTCGAAGTGAAGCTAGGTGAACTTTTTTTCAAAAGTAAAGAAGTTCAGTTTCTTTCTTTTTTATTATTTTTTTTAATTTGACTTTTATTCTCCGATTTGGGGACCAAAATATGTCTAAAAATGTAGCCATGATTGATTTGTCGCGGCGTGACAAATGCAGATATATATATATGCTAGTTCTATGTGTCGTTATACAACTGTAGATCTAGATCTAGATCTATACAGCACACGAGTGAACACAACACATTAAGTTTTTAAGAGCAGCATCCTTCATAGGAAACATGTCATATCTGTAGTGAAAAACTGTTTGGAACTGTAGCATTTCTTTTTATATAAATATTTACTGCGGACATTTTTTGGACCGATTGAACCATATTGTATACGAACAATCTTTGGTAGGCCTAACTATAATTATAGATCTCTATATAATATCCTAAATTTGCGGAAAGGATATGTGAATTTAGTTTAGAGTGTTCGTCGGAGAAATAGTGCCCAGCTTTATTTTCCCGAACGTTCGGAGAAATAGTGCCGTTTTATTCGGACTCGAGTCTATAAAAGTATTTCATTTTTTCATTATATTCGGACTCGAGTCCGAATAAAAAAAATTCTTATTCGGACTCGAGTCCGTTATATGAAAAAATGTTATTCGGACTCGGGTCCGGAAAAAAGAGTCTTCGTTTTATAGATCTGACGTAGTAACGTTCAGTGCTTCCAATTTTCCACCATTTTTTAGTTTCCCCCACACCTTTTCTGCCGATCCGATGCCCGCCGCCTCATTGATACGCACCCCCCCCCCCCCACCGCACCCCCCATGTTTCCCACTTTCTTTGTTGTAGAAAAAGGTAAAATTGAAGATTAGCAGACCACCTGGCACCTGCATATGAGCTGTGTAAAAAAAAAAGACCGATTCGTTCAAATACACAACAAGCCTGTGTCATCTCGATTGTTTACCTAGAAAAATTTGTGTTGCTGTGTAAAGCTGAGCATACGGCAACTTTTGATTCCCATAGAGACTAGGTCTAGCGCACAATCTCTACATTGTATAGATCTACGTCAAGACTAGCTTATAAAAATTATTGTAATAATGATCAGTTGCCGGGGGAAAAAAGACTGACGCGTAAGCGACGTTCAACACCCGGACCGATAGTGCCCCCCCACCCCCCCCCCTCCCCGACACGCACACAGCCACACGTGTGCAGGCCCCCCATCCGACCCCGACACACGCTAACGAGCCTTCTTTAATTGATTCTGATGACCTGTTGACAAATAAACATTTATTAGAAGCGCTATAACTTTTCAGGCCGGCCTCAAATTCATCATAAGATAAAAACTCGGCTCCTGCACAAAACGCCATTTTGCCCGAAGTGATCTCCGTCTCTACCCAGCCTGAGGCGAGTCACGAGTGAGGCAGGACAGGAATCCTGAGTCACAGGAAGTCGTAAGTCGGAATAGATGTCATGCTGGACAAGAATCAGAGTCTGACGAGAATAACATTTTTTTCATATTCATCGGACTCAAGTCCGAATAATCACTTTGTTGACAAAAAGTCAATTTTTGTCAATTGCCACCTAGATCTAGTCACTAAAAAAGCAGGCTCCCCTTCCATTGCTACTAGTCTATAATTCAACTAATTTGTCATCGTACCATTGATGGAAGGCAAACCTGGGAATAAATGAGATGTATGTACACGTACCTTCACAATTCAATACAGTTACGTTACAGTAACTTACAGTTACCCAGCGTATACTCTAATTTTCCTCCATCGGGAACGTCGCATGGTCACAACCTCGGAACACCACTTCGAATTTCTTTCTGACAGTAATTTTCTGTCTAAGATCACAAGTCAATTTACTAGATCAACCCGCAGATTTTCTAGCTGCGGCAACAAAAAGAAGATAGACAGAAAGAATGAGTGAATGATAGAAAGGAGTAAATTTGAACCTAAAGTTCGCCAGATTTCCAAGGAGGTGCTATTCCTATTCTTCTCCTGGAAAAACGAAAGAGAGCTTCAAAACAGACTGCAGCGCCATCTGAAGCAAAGAGCGAACTTCCGGCGGACACTTTTTTGGCTGAGTGGCCCATCTTGATTTTATGTAGATCAGAGAGTAATTTAATTAAGAGTCTCTGTGTAGATCTACTATCTTTGATTCTAATCATCAATGTATTGTAAAAGAGCTCCGTGTTCACTCTGTCGCAATTAACGCCGCGTTCAGTGTTGCCATTCTTAGTTTATTACCACTAAATTTTGTGTTTTTTTGGGTAGATTGAGTTTTTCAGTTTTTTTGCAGCACATTAAGGGGTTTTTGTTTCACTTGCAACAATCATATAAAATCGATTAAATAATTTTGTCAATCTTTTGTTAAACGTTATAAACCAAAAATAAATAAATAAATAAATGCGAAAATGATGACTATAGTCCAAGAACAGTCTAAAATCTGGTTTAGTTTTAGTTTTAGTAGAGGTTTTAAGGCGCTCGCAACTGCATTATAAGGTCATATATATGAGCGCCAGAAGATAGAGGTGTTACAATTTAAGAGAGTAACAGTAACAAACATAAAAAAGAAAAAGGGAAGATAAGGACGATAGATATTTGATAGGAAAGAAGGAGCTAACCACACGTCTAAAGATTATCAAGAATCATAGATGTACAATAGGCCTATATATTATGAATATGTTTGACTGGTCAGAAATAAAGACCCAGCTATTACAGGGTTTTTTAAAAAGGAATAAATATGTAATAAGGCAGATAAAAAAAAATTAATTTTTTTTCTGTCCCATTTAGTGGAATTACCAAATTTAGTAGTCTCTTAAAAATCAGGATGGCAACACTGGCCGCGTTAGTTGTCACAGCGTCACTCTGTCGCAATTAACACTATCAATTTAATTTAAAAGGCCGATATCCTTACTATAGACTATAACTATAGGTATTTGACTACGAAGATGATACAAATCACGGTAAGGAATTGGCAGCAGACCTGCCACTCTATGAAATCTAAAGTCAGGATTTTCGAGTAAAAAAATAGGATCTGGTGAAAAAAATCGGGATCAACAGCAAATCAGTCATAAGTGGTACTGGGGAAGAGGGACGGGGGGTCTCCTGGTTGCCTTTTATGAGGCAAGTATGCAAGAGAAAACTTTTGCAGGAATAAGTTCACGTTTGGCCTCTTTATATATAGAGGGAAAACTGAAAGACAGCATTACTCGAGTCGGAGTTGGATAGGCTGGGGGAGCGCAGGTTGCAGTAAAGCTGAACTCTCGTAGTCTTGAAAAAAGCTGACACATAACTCTCATCCACGCAAAAACCCCGCGTATTCATACAGTAACAACGTTTGACTTCCATCGCATATATACACTCAAGGCAAGCCCCCCCCCCCCCCCCCCCCTTCGAAAGAAAAGATCGCGCCAAGGATGTTCATTTTTTTCCCCTTATTCCTTTACTTTGTCTTCAATTAACACAAGTATCACGGCACGCACTTTAAGCCCAAGTGTCAAAACAATACCCCCACCCCCACCCCTCCCTCCCCCGTGTTGTGTTGCTGTGTAGAGCCGAGCATACGGCAAATTTTGATTCCATAGACCAGGGCACAATTCTTTACGTAGATCTACGTCAAGACTAGCTTATTACAGTGGAGTCCACTTATAACGAGTCCTGAAACAACGAGAAGTCTGCTATAAAGACACGATTCTAAAAACCCGTTTTTTTTCCTTCTTTATCTTTGTAAATAAAATACTGCTATTGCGCAATCAGACAGTCACGCGAGTCGGTTATAGCGGATTAATGCTGCTGCTGTGCACAGCACACAGACCAATTAAACATATATAAAACCTCGCCGGTTGAGAAAGTTGTTGGTGATCCAGCGAAACAAAGAAAGGGAGAGCCCACGCGAACCAACAATGAAGGCCGGGGCCTATACGCGGGAGCGAATGAGTGGGGAGGGTGTGGCATTCGCAGACAAGCAGAACGCATCGTGTGATAGGCCAGCCCAGTCTAGATTATCTAAGCCTACCATGCCTCTCACTTCTCTGGTGCGGGATGGAGAGGTCACAATGCTGTGATAGATGGAGTGAATGTGTGACGTGCGCAAGCAGACGCAACGCACCACAGGGTGTGGTGGGGTGGGAAACAACACAGCGGGCAAGTTAGTCTAGAGCCAGAGCCCCTTCTTTCTGATCACCAAAGCCGATTTGTCAACATTGCTAGTGCTAGAGAAAGAAACCTGATTCAATTTTTGATCAAGTAAGACCTAGAGATCATGTAGAACAAAATCATCATCAGGGGAAATACAAAAAGGAATAAACAGAACACCAAACTTATAGATTAGGCCTACTTTACTATTTCCCTTGAATTTATTACTGGATCCCTAATAACGAGAATCCTGCTATAACGGACATTTCGCACCGGTCCCCTCCCTCTCGTTATAACAGGATTCCACTGTATTTATATAATCAGTTGCCGGGGGGGGGGGGGGGGGGGGGAGACTGACGCGTTTGTATACGCGACGTTCAACGCCTTGTTGAATCCGAGCTCGTTGATTTAAGTGCTAGTTGAATCCGGGTTACTTTTATTGATTTTAAAGAAGGAAAAAAAACCCCCTGGGAAATCTATCTCATCTCGTTGAATCCGAGTTTTCGTTGAATCCGAGCTTGTTAAATCCGAGTTCCAAGATTCGGCATAGATGCTTTAGAAAGTAGCGTTCCAAGTTCCTGCCGATAAAAAATCCAATTGGTGCTTCCAAGCAAAAGAGATTGCAGAACTTTTTATATTTTTTTCTAAGAATCGGACGCAACGTCCAAAAAAAAAAAAAATCAAAAAAAAATCAGGATACTGGCGATTGAAATCGGGAAAATCGGGATGCTTGAGATTTGGGGGGAAAAATCGGGATATCCCGATTTAATCGGGATGAGTGGCGAGTGGCAGGTCTGTGACTGATTAGGCCTACATTTGAAGACTAGATTCTAGATCTAGATATAGATCTAGATCTCTAGACTCTAGATGTGATCTGTGTAGACGCGTTCTTCCTTATCACTTTTTTCTCTCCTGAAAATACCTTTAGATTTTTATCTAGATCTAGACTCTAGAAGTCTATTTTAAAATGTTTTAAAGCTCAATATTAGATATCTAAATCTAGATCTAGATCTAGAACTTGTGTTTTATTTCGAAGCTGTTGTTGTCTCATTTTGATCGGAGGGGAATCCTGGTCTGACGTCAAACAAGATGGGCGCGTACTTAAAAATAGTTTCGCCTCTTTGCAATGTGTGTGTTACCACTCGATGGATCGATTTCAAGGCTCCTAGAAAAAACTTTTCTTTGTCAATTTGCGTTGTATTTAGAGAATGTGCCGTTGAGAACAAGGAAAAAAGGGTTCAGGTACTAGATCTAGGCCTACAGAATAGGTCATTCTATCAAGGCTCCAACAAGAGCCTTGGCCTTGGCGACCTGAACTCTGACCTCGTTCAGGGAACAAACTGCTAGAGCTGCTGTCAGATACCACTCCAGATTTCACTGTCACTGGAAACTTCTCCGGTCGGTCTCGCGTCTGGCCAGTAGGCCACCACAACACACTAAAATCATGGACGACAGTGATTCTGAATTGTAAGTCCTGTCTTGAAGCTTTTCTCGGTTTATTGCCGCTTTTGTCTAGAAGGGAGTACTTTTAAACGTCTGGGAACTAAATCTATATCTAGATCTAGATCTAGATCTAGAAATCTAGATGAAGATTTAGTTTACCTGGCTGTCAATGGATAATGAGGCATTCTAGATTAAATCTTACAATTTTTCTGTCAAGTTAAATCCGGAGGTTGTCTCAGCTTCATCATATATTTGACATCATCATGATTCATTCACTTTTCTCATTTAGAAATCTAGTTGTAGATCTAGCCTCTGTGCTGTCTGTATTATTCATATTTTGTCATTGGTTAATCTGCCACTGCTTTTTAATAAGGCATAAGGCTGTAATAGTTATTCGCACAGGGTGTGTGTGAATACTACAATGAAATTTTATTCGCACAGGGTGTGCGAATACTATGAAATTTTATTCGCACAGGGTGTGCAAATATTATGAAATTATATTCGCACAGGGTGTGCGAATACTATGAAGTTATATTCCCACAGGGTGAGTGAATACTATACTATGAAGTATGAAATTATGTTCGCACAGGGTGTTTCAAAAGAAGGCAGGATGTGGAAATCGGCCAACCGTTTCCTCATTTTTTCCCCTCATGGCGCAAGGACAAAGTTCATAGGGGCTGGATTGAACTTTGGTGGACCCACCGTGTTTATATATATTAATGCGCACTAGGCAACAACGGACTTTTATACTTATACAGTCATGGATCCTAATCGACCGCTACGCGAACTAGTTCCCGGCGACGCGAGGCGGAGTGAGTGAGGGCTGCGAGAATACCTCGAGAGAGAGAGAGATAGAGAGAGAGAAGGGGGGACGAGACAAAGTTGTAAACAGACCTGTCATCCGAATCATTGAAGAGATCAAAGTCCGGAATATCTAGGCATCGGATGAGGACGTTTACCGCAGGAACAGGCGCAGGGTTCTCACTATTATATTATAAGTATTACTTGATCCCAACCGCTGTTTCTTTTTAGGGGGAGGCAGTGGAGGATTGACCAGCAGGTTCCTAATTTTCTTGATTACATGTCGTAGGCTTATTTTTGCTCCTTTTCTTTTGAGGGGGAGGCAGCGGAGGGAGACCAGAAGTGGAGGATGGACCAGCAGGTTCCTGGTTTCTGAATTAGTCGCAGTACGCTAGTTTTTGGTGGACCGCACATTCAGCACTTAAGTTATTAGGATACTTATATATCTAGTATTCGACAGTCGGGGTGGGGGGATGGGGGGGGGGGGGGTGGGGGCAGCCACATGCAGATCAATTATAATAAATAATAAACAGAGAAAAGTGGACCAGGAACATTTTATAGTTTGCTCTGCCCAAGAACTTTACTTTAGTGGACCCACATTGCCAGCCTAGGCTAGGCCGAAGAGGTGCCATCCATGAGACTAATGAGAGACGATAGAGGCGCAGGTGAAGTTTACCAGACCAGTGAAAAGAGGGGTAGACATGATGGAGGTATCTAGATTCGTTTCTAACGTGTACTGTAGGCTCTCTTCTCAAGTAAGTTCAGACTTTTCTACTTTTCTTCTCTTCGCTTACTTGGGCCAAGACTTGACCGTAGCCTAGATTCTAGAAGAAATGGAGAATCGCGAAGGATTTTTACCTGTCCTGTACCGTTGTCTCCAAAATCCGAATTAGATCTAAATCTAATGTACATGTAAATATCTAGATCTACATTAGATAAAGAAAAATACATGTGTATGTCTAGTATTTAGTAACCCATCATCATCATGCCCATGTAGATCATTGTGGGAACAATAGATCTAGATATCTAATGGGCCTGTCTGTTCTCAGTGTCACTGGGAATTGTTTCTTGGCCTCATCCCAGTGACACTGGGAACAATTCTGGCCTTTTCCCAGTGCTTTCCAAAATTAAAACCCTTTGCCTAAAACTAAAGGTGGGATGCCTGGGTGTGACAAATGAGGTCCAAAATCAACTTTATGTAGTAACTCTACCTGTAGTAATACATCATAGTATATTTATGGCCGAATGATTGCAGTTTTACTTTTAAGGACTGTTCACAAATGACCCCACCCCTCTTGTCATCTTTCCCAGGACCCCCCCCCCTCAAGCTGTCGTCAACCAAAATGTACACATGTGTACATTTAGATAGAACCTGTACAGGGTGCATTTTATATTTGCACCTTTGATCTTTTTTTTTTTTAATTGTTTATTAATTTAAAGAATACAATAATGGTGGCGCTGCCCCTGCTTGCACTGGATCCCGATTGACTGGTACACGTAAACAGCACTCAAGGGGCCTGTTTGGCCAATTTTGGTGGGTCGTGTCACCACAAATTTTGTGTTATTCTAGTACTTTCATACTCTTTCAGAGCCTCTGTGAACTCTGAAGAGCTCTTGAACTTGGCTCCCACTTCCATGCTGAATAGATCTAGAAAAACTAGAACTAGGTGTTGAGTAATTTCAGATTTGCGATGCAATAGCCTTGGGGCCAACAGAACGCTACTGGCAAGGTTCCCTCAGGGCTCTGTTTTGAAAAATGAAAATGCCATGCAGGTAAGCTTATTATTATATAGGCCAAGACCGCCTAGTTTCGTGGACTCTCGCGCCATTTGCCAATCTCGCGCAGCGTTCGCAGCGCGCAACGATCTCGCGCAGGTCGGGTCGACCCTGTGCGATTATAGTTATTTCTTATTCGCACACCCGGTGCGAATAATATTAATTCTTATGCGCACACCCGGTGCGAATAATATTAATTCTTATGCGCACACCCTGTGCGAATAACCACTTCCTTTTAATAATTCTCAATATTAGGCCTACTATGGTCATGGAAGTTTGACTGGTAAATTTCTAGAATCTAAAAATCTACTACTTTTACTCCCACCAAAAAAAAAGTGTGTCGGAGTGTCTGCGTACACGGTGACCAGTCACCTAGCCTCAGTGTCTACTTACACCGTAACCAGCAACCGGGCACGTAGTCTCAGTGTCATGTTCACAATAACCGGGCATGTAGCCTCAATATCCAGCAATACATAGCACAATGTCCGGCTGTCAACAAAAATCAAAGTGTACAAAGCCGTTGTGCTCTCCTCCCTCCTCTATGATTCGGAGACCTGGACACTCTACAGGAAGCACATCAACAAATTAAAGCAGTTCCATGAAAGGGCTTGCCGCAGCATACTCGGCATCCGGTGGCAAGACCACATCACTAACAACATTGAGGTCCTTTACCGATCAAGCTCACAAAGCATAGATGATAGAAAGCATGCTTATCAAAGCCCAACTGAGATTGGTCGGCCATGTCATTTGCATGGAAGACCACCGAATGCCCAAACAGCTGCTGTACGGCGAACTCACAAGTGGCAAAAAATATGTCGGGAGGCTAAAAAAGCGGTTCAAAGACACAATAAAGGAAAACCTCCAGTTTGCACGAGTAACCTCCAAAGAACTCGAAAGAACTGCCACCTAAAGGAACGCCTGGCGCAGGGCCGTCTGTCTTGCCTGCAGAAACAGCAATACAAACTACAGGGAGAAGCTGACTATCAGAAGAGAGAGGAGACATATCCAACCACCACAACTACGACATTCCAGTGTCCCCACTGCAACAGACATTGTACATATCCAGGATCGGATTGCACAGCCACATTCGCGTCCACAGATGAGCTGCAGGATTCATCGTCATTTTTGGCAATGAAGGACTACCTACAGCCTCAATATCTACGTACACAGTAACCGGCAACTGGGCACGTAGTCTCAGTGTCACGTACACGGTAACTGGGCAGTTCAGAGCTCTAAGTTCAGTTTTTGTCATCCGGTGTTGCCTTCATCCCCTCCCCTCCCCCGACTGAACCTTTAAAAAAATAAATAATTCCCCCATTCCGGAGCCCTTATACTTCGCAGTGCTCAGATTTTGAATGAACTTTGGTGACCCCAACCGGTACTCACAATGTGATGCCCACTCACTGGTTCACTGACCGGTCACGATGGCAAGCCCGACAAGACACTTGTATGACTTTCTTTTTTTTTTTCAGCAAGTGACAGGTCAGGACAGATATTGATTTATTTTCATTCCGGTTACTGTGTACGTAGATACTGTGCCTAGGTGCCCGGTTACCGTGTACGTAGATACTGAGACTAGGTGCCCGGTTACCGTGTACGTAGATACTGAGACTAGGTGCCCAGTTACCGTGTACGTAGATACTGAGACTAGGTGCCCAGTTACCGTGTACGTAGATACTGAGACTAGGTGCCCAGTTACCATGTACGTAGATACTGAGACTAGGTGCCCAGTTACCCTGTACGTAGATACAGAGACTAGGTGCCTGGTTACCGTGTACGTAGATACTGAGACTAGGTGCCCAGTTACCATGTACGTAGATACTGAGACTAGGTGCCCAGTTACCCTGTACGTAGATACAGAGACTAGGTGCCTGGTTACCGTGTACGTAGATACTGAGACTAGGTGCCCGGTTACCGTGTACGTAGATACTAAGACTACGTGCCCGGTTACTGTGTACGTAGACACTCCGTAAGTGTGTATTTATAAGCGAAGTGGCTATTCGGACTTGAGTCCGAACAGCTGCTGGAGACTATTCGGACTCAAATTTCAGTGCGAGTGCGCAATCACCAGTTGTACCGTAAGCGAGGTCTATACTTAAGTCCAAATAGTCTCTCGTTGCTATTCGGACTTTAAACTACTGGTAGGCTATTACACTGCGTTTCACGACTACAAAGGGAACCGAAAATTCATAATCAGTCCTTATAAGACAGCTCCCCCCATCCCTTTTCTCTCTCTCTCTCTCTCTCTCTCTTTCTGTCTGTTTCTCTCTCTCTCTCTCTCTCTCTCTCTCTCTCTCTCTCTCTCTCTCTCTCTATCTCTCTCTCTCTACTTTTCCTCTCTCTCTTTCTCTTGCTTTTTCTCTCTCCATCTTACTATATATATTATTATATTATCTTTTGTAAAGAAAAGACCACAGTTCGCACTGGGTCACTACGCTCAGTGTCCATTTGTTGTAAGTTCCTTGGCCAGATTGTAGAAACCGAGGAAGACCAAGGTCGAATTGCTTGTCTGCTTCACTTCCGGTACACCTCGTGATTGTGCACGCGCATTGGAGTTTTGAGTCCGAATAGCCAAGGAAGGCTATTCGGACTCGAATTCAGACTCGAGTCCGAATAGCCACGGCCATTTATAAGGGGGCAAAAAGACACTTAGATTCTAGTCTTATACTTATTGTGTTGACAAATATAATATGTGTGTATAGTTTATAAGTTTCTGAAGTAAAGAAATTTTACCAAGGTCATCAAATGGCATTGTCTTGTGAAACACAACAGTTACAATGGTTAATGAATGGAATATTCAGTGTGACATATAGAGTCAGCGAGACTGATAAGGAGTGATGTGAAAGTAACAGAAGCACAGTTGACAAACAGACCTGTTTATGTTTCAGTCAATCAGAGTTGGAGACCGAGTTGGAATCTCTCCAGGCTATTTTCATTGATGAGCTCACCTTCAGCAGAAAAGAGGAGTGAGTATTTTGTGCAGTAAACGCATGCAGCATGTCTAGTTTCTCTGCTTGTAAGGTTAATGCCGGGCTCTAGAGCTATAAAAGATTTTTGAAATAACGTCACTGCACTAGTAAAAATGGCACAATTCAGAGTTGTACCAAAACGCAAATATTTTGTTTTGTAGTACAACTATCTTTTGGTAAAAATCTAAACAAAGTGCGCTGGCAATCACAAAAGAAACAAAATTGCAAGTTTTACCATAATTAGATGATAGATAATAATGCAGTGTTGTTAAACAATTTTTTCTCCATTTATCTCAGTAGCAAAAATTGGCTGTCATTTTGCTAGTGCAGTCGAGTCATTTTCAAAAAAATGTCGCATTTTTAAAATTTGTGATTCCAGACCTAATTCCTTGGATGCCAATATTAAACATTGCTAAGAATTGCCTTTGGCTATGTTCATGAACAAGGTAAAACGTTCCTTGACCTTAAAATCAGGTTTTCAAAACTGCCCAAGTCATAGAAATTTTACAGCTCTTTTGTAAATCTTGCTCAGTAGGCAAAAAATGGCAAGTTCCGCAACATCCATATTTTGCTTGACC